CAATATACTAAACCTAAGTTTAAAGCTACCAACCCATCCTAAGGTATGTGGAACACTCCAACTCAGTCTTTGCGCGAACCTAACATAAGTAGACACTTTAATATGCAGACATTTGCAGTCTTAACCATAAAGGTTAAACACGCACTAGCCATCCTTAGTGGGAAATTAACTCCAACTTGCCGATTAGCATCACGATGCCAAAGCACTTGAGCCAGTCATCATAACTCATAAGTTAGTGCAAGCATTGACCACAGCAGCATACTTAACACATTCGAAGAAATGATGTACGTATTGATATCTCAACATTTGATTGTTGCGAAATAAATACGTTTTACTAGCTATCATAATAAGATTGTCTTTCTTTTCTGGCGTTTAGTAAACAGCTCTTTTGTACCAAGGCCCACCCTTTCTTAGCTTTCGTCATCCTTGTAGAAATCAATATTTCGGTACTTATCAATATTGGAAACTGCACCAAATGTAATGTGGGATTTGTACCATCGTAATACATTGTCTAGAATACAATAGCGCCAAATCTGTAAGGGTCAAATACAAAACTTTAGTACATGGCCCGTTACAGCTTTTCGAGTATCTGATGATATATTAGCTTCAATGAATCAGCGGCATATTAATCGTTGAGTCAAGTTTACCTTAAGCTGATACTCCACATATCGGTTTTCTATCTATCATAAAAGTTTGCTAAGCGCACCGCCAGGCTAGCACCCTATATCGCACAGACCTCTCCTTTGCATAACTCTCTCTCATCTATACCAGTATACTTCATCATGTTTCTTGTACTCTTTACCTTATCCCTAAGTTCGGGATACAACAGTGACAATAATGCAATGTTTAAGTGCACCATCATGCGAGTTACATACTCCTCCGCAAAAAGACCACAAGGGCCGCATTCTTCTGTTATTTGTAACAATGCAGAAGAGTAAGCGGTATTCAATCTTCCACGGTGCTGAAAGCTCGCGTCTCTCATTCTTCCTACCCGTGACTTTCTGCACAAGCAAATTATACATCGAAACCCCTCTTCCTAACATTTTCACGTGATATTGTCGAGTCTCAAAAAATGACGCAGCCTCCACGGCCAACGTCTTACGAGTCACCCTTGATGGTGAGCTGAGATGTTTCCCAATGAGAACATCTTTTAGTGTATCTTTGATGCACCTTTCCCCTCAACGAAAGTAATACGACAGCTGTTCCCCTTCTTTGGAATTTTGTCGACAATGAAATGCGCGTTCCGCAATGCTCGCCTCTGCATGAAATACACTTTCCGGACCATTCCAAAGGATGATAGGTGGAACGACACCCCGTCACCGAATTCACAATGACGCCAACGCAATCTTGCGAAAATAATACCTGAGATGATTATGGTTGAGGTATCCGTTTCACTTTACCAAATAGTGAAACGAGGGGCTTACAAAGACCCCCTCGGTCTATTATTTCGCTCACATGAATTGAATTATCTATTGCATTTCGAGCAGATACGGCAGGTGACAATTGCCCTGGGTGGTGGCATGCCGTGGATAATGACAAGATCTAAATTCAATATTAGCTAACGGCACTCAAAGCGATTCATAACCGAATTCTCGCCGAAGAGCGGAAGCTTTTGGAGACAGGAACGATGGAGCATTACTTATCTTCAGCATATTAAGACTATAGCTTTTTTAGCTACGATCGTAAACGTTCCAATTGATTAATGTTGATACCTAGCCATACCGTCTAAAGACGTTGCATGTAAGGTAGATAAATCTTGCTAAAAATCAGATCGCCACATTAATTACGTGTGATCCGTTAGGTGTTGGCATATGAATGTGGCTTGTACATAAAATCTATGCCATAGCGTTGCACACTCGGTGCAGGATGCCTAAGCTCTTCAGGATGATATCTTCGGTTATGCGACGACATGTTAGCTGGGGATCGAGTCGATTATGCTCTCTCCACCAAAATCAAAACTGGGTTAAGGGTCAAGGGATGGTGCAAAAACATGTTTTGGATAAAAGGCTATAGTATGTGTGTATTGAATTATTTTTCAACAACTTTTACACAAAATTTACCAAAGGATTCGAATCTCAATCCAAGAAATCAGGTCAAGTTGAAAATTTTTGTTAATAATATAGGTAGCCTGAGTTTAAACCTTCCATATTTTTTGCCGACAGTGGCAGTCTTTTCGGCTTTAAAGCATCGTAAAATTTCATCTCTTCGATAATAAATGTAGATTTTCTCAAGAAGTATCGCCTGGTAAGTCGATCGATACCGACTTTAACACTAAGATTGGAACGGCTTTGTGGAGGTGCCTAATGGGACATAGAGGCTGACCAACTCACAAAAATAAAATCAATCATAGCCTGTAGCGGTATGCACAACGTAAAAATAGCGTAGACTTTATTAGTTGGAATCTCTCTTTCTAGCACTGCCGTCACTTCGCGCAAATGATTCAACGAATATTTAACTCCTCGCGATAAACGCATTTTTGCTTGATAATAGATTGTCAACGGTTTGCATGCTTCATCTGGCGCCAACTACCATACAATATTGCCACGGCTTCGCTTAGAAGCGAGGATCCCGGTCCATGACATCGGCCATTTTAGTCGTGTTGGCGAAACTTTTGTTTAGATGAAACATCCTGCTCAGACGGACGGATGATTGTATGCCAAGCAACCCTTTGAAATAGGAGCCTAAGCTCATGCGATGCGTTGCTGGCACGTAAGACAGCCAACCCTTTTGGCATATGCAAGTACCCATCGCTTTGAGGGGAAATTTGATAGCTTAATTTGGCAAATGATGATTGGCCAAGGGCACTGCACGGCGTGGGACCTTGCTAATCCTTTTAAAAGAATTAGGCGTAGGAGTCGAAATAGCAGTTGCTTAACTGACCAATTGCTGTTGGACTTTCTGTCAGCAGCAATTGAAGAAAGTTTTCTTGCTCACTGAACTTGCTTTGTATTCAATATGGGGGAATTTTTATGACATTCCATAAATCTAGATCTCTTTTGCTTGAAGTATTAAAAATTCAGCATTGATTATTTCATTTGATTTTGACGTACTGCTTGTTGGTGCACCCTGTGCAGAAGAAGAAGAAGGACTTTGCCCGCGGGAGCTCTCTATTTCATGTGTTAGACACAGGGCTCGTTGAGCAGAAAACGTTTTAGGATGAGCTTAGAGACGTAGCGGTGTCTCACATTCGCGAGCCTCGTATGAGGCGACGATTAACTGTGAATTGTATGTATTCACAATTATGATTGGGGAAAGTGTAACGGTATCATACGTACCCTGAGTGTAAAGGCTTTACACGTACCCTTGTATTAAAGGGCGGGCCGCACAAGATGATGTGACGTAAGAAAGGTGTGGAATTCAAAAGTTGGTGAAATCATACAATGTGTGGCTACACCGTAACAAGAAGCCGCTATGTGACAGGACTACCAGTAGTAATGCATACAAACTAGATTTTACTATATCAAATAGGTACTACTATATTAATTAGAAATACCTAAGGTTTTAGATAGTGGAGGCTACGGCGCAACTCAAACAGTTATATACAGTTTCAATTTTGAACGAAGAAGCGTCTTTACCTTTGTTAAGGATTTAAGTACTCATGGAGGTAGCGGGTTGCGATCCGCTACACTCGTACTGGTTCTTGTAAAGAACATAAGGTCGGTGACCTTAGCTTAGCTTCCTCTAAGCAAATAGCTTCGGCAGCGCCGCTGCACAGAGCGTCAGCCATAACGACTCAGGTATAGATTGAAAACATGTGCTTCAAAGTGCAGCGGGGTCGTAGCTCCTTCGCTTAGGGAAAGCTTAGTTAAGGTGTGTGACCTGCGTTCTATACTTAGAACCACTGCGAGTGTAGCGGGTCGCAATCCACTTACTCCGACAGTAATTACATCCTTAATTCAAGGCAAATAAACGCTTCTGTAAACAAAGCCGCCTATCCCCAAATCTATAGGGTTCCCTAGTTATATTGTAAATCCTAATTGAAATACATAACTACTGGCAGTCCATCCACGTACTTTTTTTTTAAGGAGTGGCCAAACCATTGTGTGGTCACACCATCTTGCGCGAGCCACTTCATCATATTTGATTACATGTAACCCCGTCATGGTCAATTGTATCCGATCGTTATACGCGCTTTAAATTGGACATTTGGACGAGCTTATTTCGCCTGTAAGGGACACGTCTAGAGATGGCCATCAAGAACTACCCACAGGCCGATGGTCAAACTGAACGCTCAAATCGTGTTGTAAAAAAAATTCTGCGCAGGTTTTGTGCATCGTCGCCGACGACATGGAGTCATACGCTCACGATGGTTAAATTTGCCACCAACAATGCCTTCAATGCTTCATCCGACTTTACGCCAATTTATATCAATGGTCTTCGCCATCCGGCATTGTCTCTTTAACTCATGGTGGACACACAAGATCTTGTGAAGGAGGGGCTCAGCAAACGTTTGCCTCCCAGCACACTAAATGACAAGCGTCAGTCAGATTTGTCAAAGGTCATGACCGAAAGAGCAAATGTTATATCACGCGTACGTGATGCTATGGCGGAAGTACAATATGCTCAGAAACTCATGCTGACACGCATGGACGTAGAAGCACGCATGAACCCAAAGAAAATGATTATATACTAGTCAGTACCAAGAACATGGCTGACGCTGCCGTCTCAAGTCTCCGGACTTCCCAGGTCCTTCCCGGCATTTCAGACTCTTAGATTTTGCCGGGAATGCATATACATTGGGCTTCGTATCCGTCCAACGCTTCGTGTCGGCTTGCTCAAGCCGTACCTGAGCAACTCCCCATATCGTACGGATTGTACCAACAATGTTGGTTGTAATCCGGCGACGGAAATCGTGAACGAAGACGAACGCGTCGTTGAAACATAAGCGTCGAACCACTTTTGCCACAGCACTCTGATGTTGACAAACTTTGTCACGAAGACATCAATTCTCCGCTTAGGGCGGAGCAGCTTCTGTCCACAGAGTGAAGACTGCGACGTGAACGCTCACCCTCACATGGAGAATTTCAGCCCAAAGTGGTTTCGTCGCCTTTGACATTTGATGACCCATATTCGCGGTCACGTTCGCGTTCGCATTTGCATGCGAGAAGGCTACGACCTCGTCAACATGCATCATTGCGTCCCTCATTTGCAAGTGTGGCGCCGACGAAAACGCCATCGACGACACCGCTGTCGACCACTGAGTATGCAGAGACACCGAGACGGAATTGCCCACTTCCGTGAGGAGAAGATTGTGCCGGCACGCCGACACCGTGGTGTGCTACAGCCCCTTGTGAGATAGCTCGGCTATCCGAATATTGATATACCGTAGGAGCCACGTTCGCAACTTCTTGCTGACTTCCGTGACGCAGTCCGAAAATGGGAGGTTGCGAACCCCCACTGGCTCTACTAGGAGCAGAATCAAAAGAAAAACTTTGTCTCATCGCTTGGGGTCCAACCACGGGAGTCGACAACGACCAATGCAGTAACAGTGCAGGTGGCGGATACCCCACCATGTCTTCAAACGTTGCAGCAATACATCTGCTTTGACCTGTTCCTCGCATACAAGTTTCGCGTATCGAAAACGCATGTAGCGCAACTTGGCGATCGCCTGATAACGACAAAAGGTTTTCCGTCGGTTTTGCAAATTATTCTCCATCGCAATCGACTTGATGGGAAGCACCCACTCCTAGAAGGCTTTGTCGATATCGTGGCGATTTCGCTGGTTATTATACTCCACGTACATTTTTGTACGGATTGCGTGCGCCGCGATGACACGACAGCCTCCTTCAGAGTTATCGAATAAAGTTCCCCGTGGAAATGTTTGATCGAGTCAGGGAAGTTCTCAGATTCTTTGGGTTTGAATTCCGAAACAGCGCTGATCTCTGGAGGGCGTGGAATAGGTCACAAGTCGTCATTTAACGGTGATCACGAATCGTCTTATCTGCTTGTGGCACGGGATGCTGGCGTCGTCGCCGTTCGCGTGCTCGTTGGAGGTGTAGGCGCAGTCACTGACTCATAGAATTTATTTGCTTCGGCAAAGCGAGATGAAGGAAGCTCTTCCTCTTCATGATCCTCCGCTGGCATGTGGTCGTCGCTCAACTCGGTATATGGCTTTGTGACGGGTTGTTTTAGCTCTCAAACTCGTGGAGAAGGTCAAACCGAACTGTTGCCGCCTTCGTTGCCATCCGACTTCGGAGAGGCCTTCGTTTTTGTTTGCATGGGTTGCGCTGGTGACTCCGCTTCATGCTGACGTTGCTCATCGACATGTTGTTCGAGCCTGGCAGTTTGGCGTGCTCGCATCTCTGCCACAGGCGTGTCGCTGTCACCAGGCTCGGAAGGTGCTGTTCTGCGTTCTTTCCGTGTAGATGCCTATCACATCAGCTTCTTCGTAATGTCGTTTCCGACGTCTCCCGCTCCGCTCTTGTTCCAAGTGGTACAAGTTCTTTCAGACACCGCTGTTATTATGAAACATTTGTATGTCCTTATTCGGGAAGGGGGTGGTGTAATGGGGTGGTTGGCCCATTTCATATCTGATAGGGTACACACTTAGTTACCGGCTAACTTAGTGTGTACCATGCTAATAAGTAGGTTATTACGGTAAAGTATTACGGTAAAGTACATGTATTCCGATTTTTAGTTTAAGATTAGGACTAGGATAAACGCACCTGTAATAACTTCATTTGATTAAAAGATCCACAAACGATTGTAGTTGTACGACAGCAACGCGAGGGGACAAAGCCTCAAGGTAGCGCTACGTCAGCACAAGACGTGTAACCAGCTGTCAGGTTACAGTGAGGTGTATGAGCACTGGGAAGCATTTAAGCAGACATAGTAGGGCGAAACGTTAAGAAACCAAGAAACTTCAGCTTCTTCGAAATGCAAGCAGGGTGCGATCCATGCCAACTATGTATTAGCAGCATATGGGATCGTTAAAGTTGCACATATATGATTACGCTACTGAAGGCATAATAAGGACAAGATTGGAGGCGGGATATGGTTATGGGCTGCTTGCCATTGATACTGGTCAGGGAATGTGACATCATTAGATGATGTCACTAAAAAGCTTCTAGAGAAGGTTTTAAATTATAGGCTTAGAGGTAGCACACAGTACCGAGGATTAAGTGCCTAAACAAATATTTTCCCCTCACAAATTTTTTACTCGACACACCAATTCGACAGTACCATGAACGTCGGCGGTAATCGTAAGATATACGTCAGATGCAGGAAGAGCTAAGTCACCGGCCAATGCAGTTGCTGTCGCGCCACTGCTTGAGTTCCAAGGAACTTGGCAGGTGTTGCCATATTAAAGTTGTTACTCAAACTAGCAATAGTAGCAGGCGCAACGACACCAGTAATGCCAGTTGTAATTAAAGTAGTAGATGAACTGTTGTAATTAAGGTAAATGACGCCGTGCGCATCACAATTCAAAGCTTGTGCATACAGAACAAACAAAATTTGCGTTACTCGCAACAGTCGGTACTTATCACAATTTGTGATGGTCACGACAAAGCAATTGATCGACCTGTACAGTATCGTCTAAATCATAGCAAACGAAATAGTTCGAGTAGCATCTACATAGAAAGAAGGATTACTGTATTTTGAACATGGGGACGCCTCAGGTCGGCAGGAGTCTCATACAAGTATACGACTTGCTTTGTTCGGCTTACCAAAACCACGTGTGATACGAATGTTAAAATTACACCGCTGAATGCATGTGGATGATTCCGGATGCTGATAACGGACATAATGGTAGTCGCTCATTGGTCTAGATAGTAAGGTTACATTAAGAAGCTTCTAGAATTTCTAGAAGGATCTAGAAGGACAGGCTTAGAGGTAGCACATAGTAGCGAACTAAGGACCTAAATATATTCACTTCGGTTTTTGCCATCTTCTCAACACGAAGGATTATTTCTATCGCGAAATTGCTATTTAGTAAATAAATTCAAAAGCAATAAACGGACCCGTAATAATTCTTAGATCCTACAACATTTGATTTTACGAATACGAAAATTATAACAAGTATTTTGTGAAGGTGTTTGGTCAAAGAGTAGCTCCCTAATGTTAATTTGATCTACTTTGACATCGAGTGAAATGTCCGTCGTTCTAGACAATTTAATAATTCTTATTTCGCTCACGGTGCTTTATTTTTTGGCAAGTAGTCGCATAAATTATGTCTTCTGGTTCTGATAAATCCTCATTTGAGCATTTTGTCGTACCAGCTCCAGCAACTCGAGGATTCGACGGGCTTGACCTCTGATGCGATTGGTGAATCATCCTCAGCATAGACGGGGTTTTGACTGAGGCAATTCTTCTAATATACTAATCTCATCGAGAATAATATTATTGGATGCTTACCACAGAGATCCTTCTACGATGATAGCTTACACTGCTCTCCGCTGCTTTTTATCATGGTGTGAAAATGCTGCCATTGCGACACATAAGCAATGTTTGTCCACGGGGGTGTTGCATTGTCTGGATGTCGAGCAATATATTGAAATGGCTGCTACCACGAAGTTGTGACATATGCATATAGATGAGCCGTTCGTCGCAAATGTGATCGCGGTAAACGCTACTAACAAACTCCGCGAATCCATAGCCACGCCGTTCGCGTCGAACACTGTAAAGTCGGTCCATCAACATTTGCAATAGCGCTCGTACACATCTCTTTTAACATATCGCGCAAAGCAGCCACATCTTCTGCAGCGGGGCTGCCGTAGCGTTTCGATTGAGGAAACGTAATTTAAAGTCACCGATTTTTTGTTCTATACTTAGAACAAGTACGAGTTAGCGGATCGCATTCCGCTTACTCCTAGAGTAATTATTGCCTTCCCAAGGCTAATTGACACTTCGGCTCAAAATCCAAAACTGATTTTTAGTTGCGGCAAAACCGCTTAATTTTAAAAATATAGATCTTCCTAAATTATAAAGTAAAATCTTATTGTATGTATAACAGACCCCGTACCGTATTCTTGTTCGGGTGTGGTCACACCATGCCCATCGGGTGTAACACACACTCCTGTTATCAGGGTCAGTGTAACCCCGTTACTCTCTCACCATTAAGATTGAGAAAAGTTAAAGTTCCAATCGATTATTGCCTCAC